TCGACACTCGTCGTAGCATCCCTCCAGGTAATGAATACAACACAGTTCACAGGACTCTCAGTGCTGAACTGAAACGGTTCCTAAAGGAGGATGGAGAGACTTGGTGGGCACAACGCGCTTTCGAGATGAAACTAGCCTCTGCTTCCGGGAATGCTCACAAACTTTTTCGACTAATCCGAGCCACCGGTAACAGAAAACCATGCGTCAGTGAAACCATATGCGAAATTAATGGCGAATGTATCCACAATCTACAACGTCGGCTTGGGCACTGGGCGAAGCACTTTCATCAACAATTCAGTTGGCCATCGACTTCACCTCCATCTCCCGATGTCTGTAATGCTGCATGGTCTGTGAACATTTCATCGCCTACCGAAGAAGAAGTCTCCCGTGAGATCAGACTTCTGAGACGCCACAAATCGCCCGGTCCAGATGAACTCCCTCCGGCCCTCTTCAAAGACGGTGGTGAAAGCTTTGTTCGCGAACTAACTTTCTTATTCCAAACCATCTGGAATACTGAATCCATTCCATCCGAATGGAGATTGGCGGACGTCGTACTGTTTTCAAGAAGGGCCCCGCCACGATTGCTCCAATCACCGAGGGATCAGGCCCATCTCTGTTGTATCCAAGCTGTTAACGTCGTTGATCCTTCGCAGGCTCAGTTGGACAAGAGAGCGTCAAATTCGCGAAGAACATGCTGGATTCCGTCCTGACCGGAGCTGAGTTGATCACATATTTACGCTACGCTAGATCCTCGAGCAACGGCAAACATTTAGTAGACCTAACATCATTGTGTATTTGGACGTACGTGCTGCGTTTGACTCAGTTGAGAGAGCAGCTCATTGGACTTGCCCGTTGGGGAGCGGTGTGCCTGAGAAGTATGTAAACCTTCTAAAAGCCGTTTACTCAAACACATCGGGCCAAGTCTAGGTCGATGATCGCATCTCCCCTTCATTTACCATTACATGCGGAGTTCGACAAGGGGGCCCAGCTTTGACCTTCCTCTTTACTTTCGCAAAAGCAGCACTCTAGAAAACTGCAGCGCTTCCGGTGTAGAGCTTCTTCAAGGTGATCGACTTCGTAACTTGAAATATGTTGACGACATCGTTTTATTCTGCGACTCCTCCCAGGACGCTCTAAACGTCCTGTGTAGGTTACCTTTACCCGTCACGCAGTTCGATATAACATTTTCTCCATCGAAATGTAAGGTTTTACTACAAGACTGGCAAGAAGCTACACCTGTCTTCACGCTTATGCACGACCAGTTTGGAAATCATCGA